TATATATATATATATATATATATATATATATATATATATATATCATATAATATAACTGAAATTAAAAGAAAATACAATCGGAAGTAGAAAAACAGAACTTACCCATGATCTTGTCATTGTTGGACAGCTCCTAGTAATACTTGAGATACATGTGATTTTACTTCTTTCTCTTTTTAAAATTAAATTTTTTGTTTTGGTTTTGGTTTTTGTTTTTGGGTTTTGAGACAAGTTTTCTCTGTATAGCTGTGGCAGTCATGGAACTTGCTGTATAGACGAGGCTGGCTTCCAACTCAGAGATCCACCTGCCCCTGTCTCTGTGCTGGGATTAAAGGCATGTGCCACCACCACCTGGTCTTAAAATTAAATCTTAATGACTAAAAATATACTATTTTTATAATTCTGAAACTTTAAAATTATTTGTATGCTTTAAACAGGATCTTTCTGTGAAGTCTTGAACCTAAGACAATTCTCCTGCCTCATCCACTAAAATGCTAGAATTATTCACCATGTGCCACCATGCCTAGCTTAAAAACTTTAAATTATATTCCGGTGTGCAAGGAACACAGAGGTGTCCTTGGCCATCCCTTAACCTTTGAGTGCATTGTCTTTGCAAAATGAGGAAATTTGAATAAGTGCTCTGAGCTCTGCCAGTTCTGAAATGCATTGACTTTAACATCCTAAATGGTATGGGTTGGTTGCTCCGTTTGACTTACACAGTGACTATTTCCAAGATTCTGTGTGTTTGTGGTTGGGGGAAAGGAGCAGCCTTGTGCGCTTGCACTGTTGCTCGTGGCGCCTCCTCACACTCATACCCTCTCAGTTCCCACACAGATACAAACTCGGCAGTGCTATTTAACAACTGAGTCAATTGTGATAAAAAGCTGCCCTCTTACTCAGCAGAAGCCCTCTTCTTGACTTTCAGATGTTCCCATCTGTTCAAAACCTAGTACTTATATTCTTTGATTTTTGTGTGTTTGTTTTGAAGTTAAAGCAGCATTGATTAAAAATGGAAGTTAATAACAAATATTAAAATGTTGTCACTGCATAGAGTGGAAAGAATAAAAAGACTGTGGTAAAGAAAACCTTTCCTTTGAAATAAAGTAAGCCGTGGAAGAATCACTGTCAAGCATTCCTCTAGCACTGTTTCCCATAGAAAACTGAAATTAGTCTCTAAGAGTTTGTGGCCACCGATTTCACATTTGGGTTGAATGACTGCTGCCCTAGGTTAGCACAGAAGGAGGGGCCCTTTTCTACAGGATTCTCAGATGACAGAGATAGGACACTACAAACCTTTATTACAGAGCACTTATTCTCCCAGGACCATCCTTCGGGCTCACCACCCTATCTTTAGTGCATTCCTTTGGTAGAGGGGACTTTTGAGCTGTTTGCTTCCAAAAACCCTTTTGCTTTCCTGATTTTCCCCCCTCTTTTGGCTCTTGTGTGTCTTCTAGTTAGATAGGTTTACTGAACCTCCTGCTTTTGGGCCGGTGTGTGACCTGCTTTGGTCTGATCCCTCAGAGGAGTATGGCAGTGAGAAGACCCTGGAGCACTATACCCACAACACTGTCCGCGGCTGCTCCTACTTCTTCAGGTAAGCCAACCCTCAGAGGAGAAAGCGGTGAAACAATAGGATTTCAGTTTCAAAGCCTTATTTTTACTATTATGTATGTGTGCATGTCTGTGGGTTTATGCACATGAGTGCAGATGCCTGTAGAGAGGCTAGGGGCATAAGAGCCCCTGGAGCTGAGATTATAGGCAGTTGTGAACCACCAGTGTGGGTGATCCAGACTGAGCGTGGGTCTTCTGCAAGAGGAGTATACACTTTTAACCACTGAGCCAGTTTCCAGCCCCATGGTGATCCATTTTATGAAATTAATATTTTAAAAATTATTTTTAAAAAGTTTTTGTGTATAAGTGTTGTACCTGCATATCCATCTGTGTACCTCCTGTGTGTCTGGGGCTCTCTGAGGTCTGATCCCCAGAACTGGAGTTGTGGAGCCAGCAGCCGGGTGGATGCTAAAACTGAATCCGGGTCCGCTGCCTGAAGGAGCAGGGAGTGTTCTCAACCACTGAATCATCTCTCCAGCCCTGATTTTATGAAATTAACTTGTTTTTTTTTTTTTGAGGCAGGGTTTCTCTGTGTAGCCCTGGCTGTCCTGTAACTAGCTCTGTAGACCAGGCTGGCCTTAAACTCAGAGATCCACCTACTTCTGCCTCCCAAGTGCTAGGATTAAACGCATGCACCACCACGTCCAGTTTTATGAAATTATTCTTAAGTGGTTCAGGTCTTAAACATATAGTGTAGAAATTTCTGTTTAATCTCAACCTCTCTACTCTTATTTTTCTCTTTTTAAAAATTTTTTCCCCACTTCTTCCCTCCCTCCCTTCCTTTTTGGTGCTGGAGATCAAATCCAGGACCTCACACATTCTGGGCGAGCACTTGTTCAGTTCTTTAAAGCAGAAACTTGATGTTTTCTTAGACATTAGACCATGAGAAATGTCATGTAGTGAAGTCAGCTGCCTCCTAGTATCTTGATGTTGTTATCATATCAGCTCTAAATGAGCTATTATTTATTCCTAATTAGCATTGAGACACTGCCTAAAGATTTTATTTTTATCTATTTGGGTGTTTTGCCCCTCTCTCTCTCTCTCTCTCTCTCTCTCTCTGTGTGTGTGTGTGTGTGTGTGTGTGTGCCTGGTGCCTGTGGAGACAAGAAGGCATCAAAGCCCCTGGAACGGAGTTACAGATGATAATGAGCCATCTGTGGGGGCTGCAGACTGAATCTGGGTCCTCTGCAAGAACAGGAAGTGCTCTTTACCGCTGAGCATCTCTAGATAATGTGCAGGCATGGTAGTATACACCTTTAATCCCAGTGCTTGAGAGACAGAGACATACAGAGCTCTGTGAGTTTGAGGCTAGCCTGATCTACATAGTGAGTGCCATGTTTACCAAGGGCTACATAGAGAGACTTTGTAGATGATTTTGCTTTTACTACAGAGATTGTGATTCTGAAGATCTGGGCCAGGGAATCCTAGTATGTAGTGAGAAGCTCCCCAGCTTTTGGAATGTCTGGTGTAGAAGAAAATAAAAAATGAACAGGGGCTGGGCAATGGTGGCACATGCCTTTAGCCCCAGCACTTGGAAGGTAGAGGCAGGTGGATTTCTGTGAGTTCGAAACTAGCCTGGTATACAAGAGCTAGTTACAGGACAGGCTCCAAAAACTACAGAGAAACCTTGCCTCTCAAAAAAAAAAAAAAAAAAATGGATAGGACACTGTGATCTAAGCTTAGGACATTTCCTGGAAATTGGCTATTGTCTTAAAACTCACATGGGAGCTTTTGGTGTGGTTTGCCAAGAAAAAAAAGAAAGTAAATTATTTTTAATTCCAGTGTTCTATCATGAAAAATAATGCAATTATTTTGTTCCCTAAAACACTTGCTAATTGGCCAAGATAATGCAGTAACTAAATGAAGTAAGCATATCAAAAGAAGCCTTTCTTTGCCTTTAAACATTTTTGAAATAATCTTTTTGTATTCTTCTCTGCCAACCTTTCTAGTGACTTATTTAGTGAAACAATTTAACTTTTCCTGTAACATGAGGACTGGCTTGTTGGGATTTCCGTCCCGCCTGGTACCCCAACAGCCGGCAAATCCCAAAGAGAAATTACACACAGGACTCCATAAGGTTATAAACTGATTGGCCCATCAGATCAGGCTCCTTATTAGTCCTTGTAACTTATATTAACCCATTATTCTCATCTATGTTAGCCATAATGGCTCCGTACCTTTGCTGGGCAAGTTACATGCTGTCTCTTCGGTGGTCTGTACAGGAATGCCGAGGGAGCTCTGCTTCCAGAATACTCCCAGTCTCTTTGCTCCACCCCTACTTCCTGTCTGGCTTTCCCGCCTATACTGCCTGCCTGGCCAATCAGCGTTTTATTAAATGATTGACAGAATACAGATAATTCTCCCACACCATTTTCCTTCTTTTGACATTGCTTAAGAACTTAGCATCATTGGCTGAATGTCATTTGGTACAATTCCTGTGGCCACTTGCCAGCACCTCTTACCGTACCTAGGCCTTCCACCCCAGAACCCTCTGTCTATAATCTAGCTTGGGGGTTGCAGTGAATCCCCACTCACCCGAGATAACTGTTGCCCAGTCAGTCCTCACAGAGCTCTCAAGCGTTCATGGACATGAACTGCAGAACAGCAGAACACGCCTGACCACCCATGTACAGGCTTGCCGCTGAAGTTAGAAGTCATGTTCTGACTTTTTCCCTGATCTTCATTTCTTTTGTTTTATGTGTATGAGTGGTTTTGCTCACATGTATGTTTATGTACCATGTCTGCCTGGTGTCCATGGAGGCCAGAAAAGGGCATCCGATCCCCTGGAACTAGAATTACGGATGAAGGTGCTGAGAACCAAACCAGGTCTTCGGCAAGTGCAGAAGGTGCTCTTGATCACTGAGCTCCCTCTCCAGCCCTGTCCTGCGTTGTTCCTACATTTGTACTTTTGTCAGCCGTTCATTTCCGTGTTGACAGTGGTACTCACGCACAGTGCCAGAGTGCTGTCCAGTGTTTGTGAGCACACAGTTGTAATGTAATTGTAATTTACAGAGAAAGTAGGTCTATGCTAGATTTGTTAGGTGTGAGCTGTGTTACAGGCCATAAGTTCAGTGTTAATGATTCCATAGTATATTTACATAAAATGTCTTTATACAGGAAGAACATCTG